AATATATTAATTTATTAGGACCTTTGGTACCTACTGAAGAAAGGCAAGCGATTATCTGATTATTAAATTTTTATGTAAATGTTTAAATTCTAAGGATTAAAAACTAGAATATTTCCATTTATATTTGTTCCTCTTCAGCCCACTTCTGTAATTTTAGCAATCTCAATTTCTAATAACGTAACACTTGGAAGATACTTCAGAATTCACTAAGAAGAGGTTTTTATGGAAAACCGCTCATTTTACAGAACAGGAATTGAAAGAGAAAGTACATTATTCAGAGTCACACATCAAGTTTATAGCAGAGCTGGTACTAGAACCTAGGTCTGATTCTCTTTTCAATTAATCCCTGTCTTCTTCATTTTAGCAAATGTTTTGGGAAAGACCATTGGACTATCTATCAAGAAATGTAATTCTAGGCCAGGCCACAAACAGGTTAGCTATAAAAAGCCCTAAGATCAATTTCCTGATATGTAAAATAAAAGATAATTGGACTCAGTGACCTTTAGTACCCCTTCAAATGGTAAAATTCTGTGATCATAAGGTTGTTGCCAACCGGAACTCAAGACCTAGGTCTATTTTACACAAATAAATGTTCATATTTTATTTGTAATTTTGTTGTGCTTTGTACCTTCTGGGGGTACAAAACAATACAAAACTATTCTGCAGGCAAAACTATAATATTGTTATTATTTTCATCTAAAGAAAACCCAGACATCAAGAATATCTGAAATTAATCTGAAAATTGCTATACAACATAATCATAACTAATTATGTTATAAATTGGCTCATATTTCCTTTAAGTTAAAAAAAAATTATAAATACACTTCACACAAGAACCAAATCTTTGTGCTCCCGTTTGCTACCATATGTCCAGATAACTGCCTTCAGCCCTGAGCTGGTGGACACAGGTACCCTGCCCTCCACAACTCCTGTCATCATTCTGGGCCCCTCTAACACCAGTGACTATCCAAACCCCTTTGCTTCCTTGCCCTCCCTGAAGCCCACCACTTTCAAAACACTTGATTCAGGGGACCCACTCCCATGGCCATGTTGGCATTCACATTTGCTTGGCAATACAAAATAGCAGCAGTAAGTTCCTCATGCTGCCATATCCTACCATCTCTCTCTCCTCTTGTCCTATCAATTCTTCTGCTTCATGGCAGCCTCTATTTTTCCCAACTCATTATTTTCCCATCCAGAGAAAATAGCCAGGGACCCCCTCACTGCAGCAGGGGAACTTTTATCAATAGATGAGAAAGAGTTTAAATTTTCTCCTTGAATGCCCTTGAAATTCAATGCCCTTGATACCATAAGAAATCACTAGCACTTACCTATTTCTACATGTGTTGAAATGCCACACGGTGAACCTCTAGAGCAGAGAAAACCCAGTGTAATCAGCAGCCCAGCCCAGAACCTGAAAGCAGACATGCTCTCATTACTCTCTGCTCCTCTGGTGACTAGAATGCACAGAGCTGGGTCAGCGCAGAGACCGAAACCCAGGCCCAGACGCACTGCTTTCTCTCTCCGCAGGTCACTGACACAGAAAACCAAGCCTCATTTCAAAATACTAACATTTTCCAGTAAAGTCAACTGTTAATTACTGTTTAACTTCACCAGACCAACAATCGAACTCCACCTGGGAGAGGAAATGAGCAATAAGCTGAAATCTAAGTGCCTGTAGGTGGAAGCATTGCTATCTTCTGACCAAGGTTTCCTCTGGGTTTGTTTTTAACATGAAATTTGAACAAAGGCACAAGCAAAGTTGTGTCCAAATATTCTTTGCTTTCTTAAAAAAGAATCACCCAAAAAAAAAAAAAAAAAAAGAATCACCCATCAATATTGATACCCAATACACTGGACCGACTCACCTTACAAGAGCTGATCTCTTATGCATCCTTTCCACACAAAAACAGGTTGCTACCTCCTCGGCCTCCGAAAGCTGCGAGGCTGGGAAAGGTTTTATGATGATCAGCTGGAACCGGCTTCTCTTTCAGTATTTGGCAACAGATACTGACATTTGCATGTGATTACACAAGAGCAATCACTTCTGGTGTCTCTACTTCCGGCTGTTTGTCTCACCTGAGGGTTTCAGACCGGGCAAGTTCACTCTGGATTGGCTGAGACCAAAAAATGACAACGGGACGTTTTTGGGGTAAAAGGTCTTATACCATGGTGGTAGGTCAAGCATTAGAATCCCATCTGCCTCCCGGCCAGTCTGCACAAGCAAGCTGGGCGTCTCCACTGCCTTGCAGCCCCAGAACCCTGCGTAGCACTCTTTATATAAAGTCAGTAACAGCTCAGCTGCCATAAGAGTGCAAGCATGTCTTTTGAGAGATTCAATGCCCTTGATACCATAAGAAATCACCTGTGAGCATTGCAGACGCACAATGGGCAACTATATTAGGGTCAGGTGAGATCCTGGCCATGGAACTTCCATTTTCCCTACACTATTCTCATAGGGTTTATCCAGATTGTTGTATGGTCAGATTCTCGCAGCCCAAGCAAAAATGCCGATTCTGCTTGGTATAGGGGAGTGGGCAGAGTTTCTGGACTGAGAAACAAAGATTCAGAAAGTACTCGGGTCAGAATATCCTTGTCATGAAGTATCCAATCTACAGCATATATTCCACGGGGAAAATTAGGTTGGACTATGGAAATGATGGTGATCTTAAAACCCTAATTATGCATATTACACCTTAAAAACAAGAAGGGAGACCCTGAAAGAGTGGGAGGAAATGGTATTCATCCTCAGGTTAGCCAAATGGAAGAGAAGAATAGAAGATGGGATGATCTGAGGCCCTTCAGTGTCTGCCAAGTTTCCTCTGTAACCTTAGCTCAGCCACCTGCAAGCCCAGGGAAAAGAGTCCCAAAGCTCTGCCTCAAGTTTGAGGGCGCTGGGCCCAGTTACTCCTGACTGCCTTTAGGCCAGAGGCCATCAGCTGGTATGTTTTGTCTGGGCTAGTGTTCTATAAACTTAGGTCTAATGTGTTGCTGCCATCATGGTTCTTTAAGCAAATGAGGGAGACATGGAGAAAGATGAGAATTAGGAGGTGGAGGGCAGGCTGAGGAGAAAGGAAGAAAGGTCCCTGCCACCTGGTGGACTTGTCCTTGGAGACCCTGGTAAGCACCCAGCCAGACTTGGGGGGGCATCAGGGCAGCCTGGAGGTAACACAGGAACCAGGAGGCAATGTTCCTACTCCAAATGCGGGCTTGCATAGAGCACAAAACCATGGTGGGAAGGAAGGGTGACATCATGAATTTCCCAGGCCTTAGGCACTTTTGCCTTAGGGGGCCCCTTCCTTCATAAAAATTAAAAACATTATGCTTTTTACATCTGTATTGGTATAAATATTAATTTGTAGTCACTAAAAGTTCATTATTTTCCTTACAATTTTAGAAGAAATTAAACTTTTTGGGTGCCCCTGAAAGTACTGTGGGCTCCTAGTCATTGGGCCTACTGTGCCTAACACAGAAGTCAGCTGTGTACTGTTCGAAATGGAACCTTAAAAAGATAAACAGGCTAACTGTGGATCAAGTGAGCAGCCACCACTGTCTGCGCTTTTTTGGGCCTCAGTTTCCTCAACAACAGAACTATCTCCCCAAAGCTGTGGAAGTCAGCTGTCAGTAGAACTCCCTCTGCAGCCAGTAGAAGGAAGCGTGCCGGCTCCCCAGTCTTGAGTGTGATATCCACCTGGCAGCCCTCTTGCTACCAGAACTTCCTCTCTCTCCAGTTCCCTTAATAAGATAGGGAAGGAAATAGTGAATTAACATATACAAAAGGTGAAACTCCGCTGTTCCACTTTTGCCAGATGTGACTAACTCAGGATCGTGTTTTGCTGAGGCAGTACTACTCAAGGTAAAAATTGACTGCCCGGGCATTTTACAGATCCAAATCCAACGTCCTATAAAAAGGTGGAGAGCCCACAGCTCTGGAAAAGCCAGCAAGAGACTCTCCGCTCAGTAGGAATGTTGAAGGGAAAATATGCTGAGACCTACTAGGGTAAACCGATGCAGAGTTGGGCTCCATGCATGCACGTGTGAACTTACGGACTCTCGAGTATAGGCCCGCTATTTTTATTTTTATTCTCATTAAAGTTGAAGATTCCTTGCTGCTGCTGTGTTTTAAGCCATGTCCAGTTGTGGTTACATTTTGGTGGATTCGTAAACGGTCGCATTGACTAGTTGGTGCTTAATTTTAATCTTGCTAGTGGCTTAACCTAGAGCAGCTCGTATGATTTTGAACTTTGTACTGAGTACAATGCAGCAACTGTATTGAGCATTAAACATTATCTCACAACAAACCTATCGTGCAATGGGAGGGCTGAGGTTTTAAGCACTTTGTCAAAGATCACACAGCTTGTTGACCAGGGATTATTTTGTTTGGATCCCAGTCTGTATCCAAAGGCGCCGTTATGGATGAGGGGCATTCCTTGTTCCCGAGTACTACGGAGAACACCTAGACATACACCCAGAAGGGCATCAGGCAGCAGCAAGCTGGGCCACACTTCGCCCCCTCAGAGAAACCTCGCCCCCATACCGTAAACGCGCAGATGCTGCGGCGATGAAGACACGCGACCATGCACTTTGCAGCTGGGACGGACACAGGCGCATCCATGGACGAAGCAAACTCCAGTCGCGGGGGATGCGGGTTTGGAGGGATGGCGGGAGGAAGAAGTGGTTCTCCTGCCAAGGTCAGAGGCTAGGAAATCGTTAAACATGAACACTCGCGAGGGGTAAAGGCACGGTCCGCAGACACTTCTCCCGGCGGGCATGCCCATCCCCCGTCCCAGCCCTTCCCGGGTGGCTGGCGCAGGGAGGGCGCTGCGCGGCGCTCAGGATGAGGTCGGGGGTCCAGCGCGACGGCCGGCGCGAGCGCGCGGGGACGGGGCGCCGCTCGGCGTACCCGCAACCTTCAGCCCGAGCCCGCCTCCCCAGCGCGCCGCCGCCGCCCGGCTCCCCGCGCGGCTCCCGGCCCCCGCCCTCGGGCGCGCGCTCGCTTGCCTGCTTCCGGCCGCTGCCGCCGCCCCCGGACCATGGCGACTTACCTGCGGCTGCGGAGCTGCCGGGCCGCGCGCCTCTGGACTCGGGGCCGCGGCTACGCTGGGGATTCGGCGGGCCTCTCTGCGACGCTGCTGCGCACCGACGGCTTCGTGGGCGGCCGCTGGCTTCCGGCCGCCGCCGCCTTCCCGGTGCACGACCCGGCCAGCGGCGCCGAGCTGGGCATGGTGGCCGACTGCGGGGTGCCCGAGGCCCGCGCCGCCGTGCGCACCGCCTACGAAGCTTTCTGCAGCTGGAGGGGCGTCTCGGCCAAGGTGAGTGTGCACCGGATCGCAGCGGGGACGGGAGCTTTGCGCCATAGTGAAACCAGCCGCATGCCTCCTCCCTCTCCGCAGTCCTCCGGGACACACCGTGAGGAGAAAGAAAAGAGATAATCAGCAAATTAAGTTTGGGGCGTGAGCTTTGTGCCAAGCACTGCCCTGGGCTAGGGAATTGGCCCCATGCTCAAGCCTCATAAAATGCCCTGTAGGGGAGTGCAGAATACGAACGAATAGAAGGGCATGACCGCGCAGGCGTGGGGGGGCGGGGCAGGGTGTCAGGGAATGAGCACTAGTGACTCGTGTGTGTATGCGTGTGTAGGCGGGGGGGCAGGGTGTCGGAATGAGCACTAGTGACTCGTGTGTGTGCGTGTGTGTATGCGTGTGTGGGCGGGGGGGCAGGGTGTCAG